CTTGCTGTCTCCTCTGCAGGCGCGGCTATCGGCGCCGCAAGTTTCGTATCGTCTGGCCGTGGCTCTCATCAGATGGGCTCAGTTAGTGCAGGCCTATCCGCCGTTGCTACTGCCGTCTCTAGCAGCCTGGTAAGGCTATCCTTCCTCCCTTCCACTTTTTAATTGTCTTTGTATCAGTTGGGGTCATCTGTTGAACCTGTGTTGCAATAGCCCCCAAACGACCGCTGGAGATATGTATTTGTCAATCCTACTTACGAGGCGAACATAAGGCGACTGTCTAACTTAGCGATAGGCTTCATACACCATGCGCCCCCTATTTACTTTTGGGCATTTCTGGTATCCGTCTGGTACATACAACGGATGCTCATTTATCTTGACAATGCAAATCCTCTTTTATGTTGTTTCCGTTTCGATGTCGATGGAGATTTCGGTTAAGCGTATCCGGCAAGGTCAAATTGATGGAAGTGTCCCAAGACCGTTTTGTGATAAACCCCAAGTACCGCCCCCAAATCACGACCGCTCGACGATGATTCACGTTAAGGAGAAAGCAACAAGTCCTCTTTGTCCAATTCTGATGATCAACCGGAACGAGGTTGGTCTTCCAAATGGGTATCACCAGGGTTAAAACGTTTGTACCAAGGAGCAAAACTTGTGTCGTGGACGGCCCTCTTGTCTTCGGCATCACAGATATCCTTTGCAGTTTCCCTAGCCGAGACTCCTCGTTTCCAGCAATTGCGAATCTGGATTCGAAGTTCCTTTTTATTCAATGACATCTGAGGTATGGGAGTACATCTTACATGGGAATGCCTTGTACAAAATTATAAGTACCCTTATAAATGTATGCATTTAGACAAAAACCTCAAGCAGTACCGTTCCTCGCAAGTGCCACAGAACTGCTGTCCCAACCTAGTTATAGGCGAAGTAGCATCTCTGTAGCTGCTGGTGTAACCGAGGACTGCCTTGCGTGCCTATTCTTCCGGTCAGCTGATTCAGCCCTCGTTTTCTGTTTCATCCATTATCAACCATGTCCCACGCTCATTATTGCTTTTTTTCCTTCTTTCATTCAGGCCGCATCGACCTCTATTGCGTTTCCAGATTTCAGCAAGAACCCCGGAGTTCACCTGCGTAGCCAGAAGGTATTATTGTGCAGTTTGTAATTGATCGAAAACAACTCTGAACTTTCAGTAATGTCCTCGATG